AGAAGCTGTTTTGCAGATCCTGCTGACGTGTCTGTTAAATCTGAGCTCATTGTCTATGTCCACACCAAGGATTTGAAATAAAGTCCTCGAGTGGAAGGGCGATGTTGTTCATTAAGATCTTTTCCTTCATGATGTCTGATGCAGCTGGAGAACGGGATACAACCATTACCTGGGTCTTGTTGGCGGCGAAACTTATTTGCCATTGTGATCCCCAGTCGTGGATTGCTTGCAATTTCGAATTCATATTCGTTTCTACAGTGTCATGATCTTTGAACAGGTATGAAGTAGAAAGTGTGCAGTCATCAGCATATGCTGATATACGCCTGTATCGGGTACTTGTGGGATGACTGGCCACCGATGGCTACTTGCAGTGCTCTTCCAGTGAGGTAATCACCAAAGAGCCGCAAGAGACTGCTGCTTATGCCTCTGTGCCACACTCGGTCGAAGGCGCCGGCGATGTCGAGGGCGATTACCAGTGTCTTGACTGGCGTCCAGAGCATCTTGCCAGTATTTACTTAGTAGGAGAAGGTCAGCAGTCGATCGGGATGAACGAAAGCCAAACTGTCTGATAGAAATAAGATTGTGGTTTTCCAGGTGTTCCATGAGCTGTTCAGCAATGGTCTTTTCAAATACCTTGCTGATGCATGACAGGGAGATGGGCCGGTATTTTTCTGGATTTGTTTCCGACTGTTTCTTATGCAGAGGAATCACTCTTGCTTCCTTCCAGATGGTGGGCCAGCAGCTTTCTTCGATGCATGACTGGAAGATGGATTATAACGGCTTGGGATATCTCGGTTGCATACCTGCGGAGCGTGTGTGGGCTGAGAGAGATCCTGATGCTTTTTTGTTTTTAAAATTCTGGAGGACCTCTTTTGTTCTGGTGTGACAGAGAGAGAGAGAGAACTGACCTTCTAGGAAGCTTGTTTAGTCGAAAAATGATAGTGCCAGATGCACACATAACACCACTAAAGATACCCTCAGTTTGGCATGAACAACTCCCTGTCACACCAGAACAAAAGAGGTCCTCCAGAATTTTAAAAACAAAAAAGCATCAGGATCTCTCTCAGCCCACACACGCTCCGCAGGTATGCAACCGAGATATCCCAAGCCGTTATAATCCATCTTCCAGTCATGCATCGAAGAAAGCTGCTGGCCCACCATCTGGAAGGAAGCAAGAGTGATTCCTCTGCATAAGAAACAGTCGGAAACAAATCCAGAAAAATACCGGCCCATCTCCCTGTCATGCATCAGCAAGGTATTTGAAAAGACCATTGCTGAACAGCTCATGGAACACCTGGAAAACCACAATCTTATTTCTATCAGACAGTTTGGCTTTCGTTCATCCCGATCGACTGCTGACCTTCTCCTACTAAGTAAATACTGGCAAGATGCTCTGGACGCCAGTCAAGACACTGGTAATCGCCCTCGACATCGCCGGCGCCTTCGACCGAGTGTGGCACAGAGGCATAAGCAGCAGTCTCTTGCGGCTCTTTGGTGATTACCTCACTGGAAGAGCACTGCAAGTAGCCATCGGTGGCCAGTCATCCCACAAGTACCCGATACAGGCGTATATCAGCATATGCTGATGACTGCACACTTTCTACTTCATACCTGTTCAAAGATCATGACACTGTAGAAACGAATATGAATTCGAAATTGCAAGCAATCCACGACTGGGGATCACAATGGCAAATAAGTTTCGCCGCCAACAAGACCCAGGTAATGGTTGTATCCCGTTCTCCAGCTGCATCAGACATCATGAAGGAAAAGATCTTAATGAACAACATCGCCCTTCCACTCGAGGACTTTATTTCAATCCTTGGTGTGGACATAGACAATGAGCTCAGATTTAACAGACACGTCAGCAGGATCTGCAAAACAGCTTCTCTGAAGATGACAGCTCTCCGACGTATATTTCACCTCCTGAATCCTTTAGGAATTCTCGCGCTGTACAGTCCCAGATCAGACCACATCTAGAATATGCCTCGTTGGCCTAGTCTTCTACTGCGCCCACCAAACTCCATAGGCTGGTTAAAATAGAAAAAATGGGCTCTCAGGCTTATACAGGAAGCCAGCAATCCTTGTCACATCGACTCGCTGAAACATCGTCGCGACGTCGCACGGTGGTTCATTTGGCCAAATTCATGGCCAAAACACATTCTTATAAAAATAGTGAAAATATTCATGTGAAGAAAGCAATTCAAGATTAATAAGAAACAGTACACTGCAGTGTTTTACGAGTTTTATAAATATATAAAAAAAAGAAAAACTATATGTGGTCTATATACATTATCAATGCCATGATCACAAGAGAAGGCTAATGATGTTAATGCAGCCATTAATAATATTAAATAGGACAAGAATTTCATAGAATATATAATTATCCAGATATACTCATTACATTAGACAATATAAATGAGTATACAAACAGTAGCAATGTTAAGTCAGTTTTCAGATTATTAAGAACAATGATAATTATATGATTATATTCAGTATGAATATAATCATATATGAATATTGTAACTAAACAATAATCCTACGAAGTTTGATTGATGTACTCGAAATATAAATCAAACAAAAAAGTAGCGCTCCCTAGGTTATATGATTCTTAAACTTATTTTGCACAATTGCATTGCTTACAAATGTAGTTACTGTGATCAGATTAAAACACTGAACCAGTGCAGTGTACTGTTTCTTATTAATCTTGAATTGCTTTCTTCACATGAATATTTTCACCATTTTTTATAAGAATGAGTTTTGGCCATGAATTTGACAAAATGGACCACTGTGCGTCGGGGCTCTAACGGTGCTCACAGATGCAGTGCTTCTCAGCCTCCGTCTCCTACCGCACGGCCGAGAGAGAAGTACGAGGACTGTACACTCTAATCAGCTCCTGGTGGAAGTTCCGAGGTCACGGTCTAGCCAGCATCAGCGTACCTGAGCAGCACGACTGTGGAATGAATTCATATCCACCATCGATGTCGCCGAAATGACCACGCAGCAAGTGAAGACAGCGGTGCACCAATGGCGGCCAAGCAAACCGCCACCTCTAAATCATGGCGACACATAAGGCAGCACTGTATATAAACTTATTTTTAATTGATTCCATTTTGTTATTTGTTTAGTTTGATCAATAAAGTTGGTTATTGTGTCAAAAAAGGATAGGTTTTCAAATAAACTCCTTTAGATAGGTAACTTTAACCCGTAAAACGCAACCTGTAAGTTCTAAATAATAAGGTTTCAACCTATACATATCTGTATAACGATTATAAAAAAGATTTTTTAAAGAGAAGAGAGAGAGGGAGAGGAGTGTGTGTGTGTGTG